AAGGTCCTTGGGTGGCTCAGTTTTTGCTCGGCTGCTAACCAGAAGGTTAGCAGTTTGAGCTGTGGAAGAAAGGCTTGGTGATCTACTTCCATAAGATTACAGCCATTGAGCACAGTTCTACTGATACACATGAAGTCACATACAACAATGGGTTTTAGGCACCATGCTGGTGGTCACTTTACACATTCTTTTATCAGTACTCATAATAACTCATCTTAGTGGGTGCTATCATTACTCTCATCTTTCAGAAAAGTGTCTGAATCCCAGAAAAAGCATAGAAAGAGAACAAAGGTAGGAAGGTGTCACAGGCATTTTCAACCATGCCTTGAGCTTTAGGAAAAGAGGGTGCAGTGTGCTCCCCCTGAAGTTAGGTAAGAGCTAGAAGAAAGAGAACAAGGGTGGAAGTACAGCCTTAGGTCCTTTTGGTAAAGAATACCCTGGGACCAAGCCCAGACAGTTAATGGGTAGCCAAGGCAAGCAGGCCTGGAAGGACAAAGGGGGAAGAGGGGCGTGCCACAAGGCAAAGCTGGCCAAGTCCTATCCATTACAAAGGTTATAACCTGGACTCAAAACCCACAGAAGCAAGCCCTCAAGGCTAGTAGGATTTGGTCACTGAGACAGAATTAGGCAGAGATGGTAACATGAAAACAAGCTAAGTGGAGCCCACGATAAAGGGGAGCCACACTCAGAAGTGGGAGCAGAGAGAGACAATTTTGGAACTGGGAGGAGTCCAGTCCTCATTGCTCATTCAGCTCTCAACAGCTGAATCTCTTTCTGTTAGTGAATTGGGGTGGGTCAAGGAAGGGGTGGAGGGAGTAACAAAGACATGTCCAAGAGTCACAAATCTCATCACACAGCATCCCTGCTATTAGTAGACAGGCAGCAGGTGCTGGGTGGTTTTGTACTGGGCTCGGGGCTCACCATGTCCCTGTGTGGAAATAGAATAGAAGCACAAAACAGAAGTCTTGACTGATTGAATGTGTATGTAGGGGAAGGAGCTTGTTGAGAGGGGAGGGGGAGGAAATGGTGAAGAAAAAGCACTCAGGTATGTGACATACCACTGAACCTTGGCCATTCAGTACCACCTGTCTGTTAACTGCTCAGAAAACTCAACACCTACGTGGTTCTGTCAGAAGTGTCAGGGTCCCAACACATGCTCCAACCCTTCAAAGTCAGTCTCACAGGGATAAAAATTTCATGAGGTATTGTGAAAATTAATGGAGATGATTTATAAGAAAAACACTTTGTGTGATGCCTGGGATACCTAATAGGTGCTTAATAAATGATAGTTGCTATTAGTATCATTTCATAATAAATAATAAATTAAATTAAACTTAAGAATTGAAGCTAAAGTTTCCATTGCTAATTTTTATCATATCACCACCACTGTACCCGGACAGAGTTCAGGGTTCATCTTTATGGAGGACAAGAAGGGAGCCTCTTGTGCTTTTAGTTTATGTCTTGAATGCTGGTCACCAATGGCCTTTGAAGGTCCCTGGTAGCACAAATGGTTTGTGCTTGACTACTAACCTAAAGATTGGTGGTTTGAACCCACAGAAGACTTGGAGCCTACCTCTGACAAGCAGTAAAGTGGGAAATAGAACTGATGATCTGCTTCTGTTAAGATTACAGCCAAGAAAACAATATGGAGCAGCTCTACTCTGTAACACATAGGTTCACTGTGAATCAGAATCAACTCAGTGGTAGCTAACAACAATGGCCTATGTGAAGGTCACTAATGGAAGACAGAGGGAAAGAAATGAAGCAAGATGGAGAGGTAGAAGGCAGGAGGGGAGAAGTTGCTTCTCAGTAGTCTGGTTATTCCCAAAGAATGCTGGAGCAGAAAGGGACCTTGAAGGCTACCTCATCTAATCCTCATTGACAGAAGAGGAAACCCAGACTGAGAGAGGACTCATCCCTTGCCCAAGCTCACTCATAATATAGGGGCAGACAGAGGTCCACACCCCACACTCAAGATGCCCCATCCACTACTCTTCCAAGAGGCTCCATGGATTTATTTCCCCCATAAACCAAAAAAACAAACTCACTGCCATCGAGTCAACTCCAACACATAGCAATTGCTTTGGGTTTCCAAGGAGGTAAATCTTTACGGAAGTACATTGCCTGGTCTTCCTTCTGTGGAGTGGCTGGTGGGTTTGAACTGCAAACCTTCTGGTTAGCAGTCAAATGCCTTAGGCACTATGCTGCCAGTGCTCCTTTATTTCCCCCATAGAGGGGGGCAAAGTGACAAATCTTCTCAGCTTGCACAGCAGGAAAGTAGCTGATATTTATCTACCCCCTGGGTTACAAAAGTCTAGACTTCTCTTTTGCAAGCACTCTGTTTTGCTCTCATAGGACTACTTAAGAGCAAGGCAGCCATTTGGTTCCCTGAGGCAGCTAAGAGAGGCAGAGGGCAGGCTAGAATACAGCCAAAAGCCTCAGGCCTACAGGGGAGAGAGTGTGCAGACAGGGCTGTCTCAAGGTCCATTCCCGCATGGAGGGCCTGACCTCTCCATGCTTCTCCTTCCTGAAGGCAGGTCACCCTGCAAAGGGGAATCAGCACAGATGTCCCAAAATTTTTAGACATCATGGGCTCCAGCTCAAGCTCTCTGCCCTCGTGTCAGATCAGACTCATAGAGGCCCCTCCTAGGGTTTCTGAGGTGGTATCAGTACAAAAGTAGGTTGCTCAACCTTCCTTACGAGGAGTGGCTGGTGGGTTTGTACTGCCAGCCTTCTGGTTAGCAGTCGAATGCCTTAGGCACTACGCCACCTCAGTGGCCCAAGATTTTTGAAGGGTATGAAGGAAGCAGCTAAAATCATTCTATTGCCTAGAAAGGTCCACACTGTCAGGTTCCCAGATGCTTGTGGAATAATTAGACCCACAGGGAGTACTTGCCTCACACCAGTTATCTTACCCAACCCCACCAAGTGAGCCTTCCCATCCAAGTGGATGAGATGCAGAAACACAGCCGTCTCTGCTTGGCACCTTCAAAACTGCTACCCAATAGTATCTGTGATTTAAATTAGCCAAGAGAACATGGAGGACTGGAAAGATGGACAGTAAGGCCCAAAGGCAGTATCAGATACCACTCCATGGTCCTGAGGACAAGGACAGACAGGAAAGGGGAAACTACAGATGACCCAAGTCCCCTTCATGATAATCAATCTCTCTCACTTGTAGCTTTCTCTATATATTTTCCTCCAAAGCCTGCAGAGACTCATGGCAAATCACTCTCTCTCCCATTTCCTTGTTTAAGCTGATGCTTTGAGGGCAGAAAAATAGCCAAATGAGAGAGGAGGCTGAGAGACAAGACAAGTAAACAGTGAGTTATTTCAACCCTGATAAACATGAAGAGCACAGAAAGAACTCAACCTTGTCAAGGAGAAAAGAAAAACAGTTCCTATGGAAAGGGACAGAGGCAATGGGCAAGAGAAAACACAACAGCTCTTTGAATAATATCAACTGCCTACATAGACACTGTTCATTGGCACATTGTTGTTGTTACATGCCGTCGAGTCGGCCCGACTCATAGCCACCCCTCCTTGGGTTTCCGAGGTGGTATCACTACAGAAGGAGATTGCCCAACCTTCCTTCCAAGGAGTTAATTGGCATAGCTCAACTCAATTCAATTAATGGGATTCCTGGATTTATGTAGCTCATTTTCTAACCCACTGAATCTCTGAACTTCCTCACTAACCTCAAATCACTTCACATGCCAAGCCAACAAGGTGAGGTCACCACTCAGAAGGACTAGGAGACTCAAGTCAACCAATGAAGGAGATCCGTACAGATGCCAAGTTGACAAGGGGTGGAACTGTATTAGTTAAGATTGTGTGTCAACTTGGCTGGCCCTGTTTTTGAGTGGCTGGGCAGCTGGATGTAGTCTTCCCCATGATGAGACTGGTAATCGACTCCACAGCGGAATCTGCTGTGAGCAGCTGAGTAGCTGCCTTAGGGATGTGATCTGATTCCAATATATAAGAAGCAGCTTTGAGAAAGGTCTCTGACCTTTTGGGCATGCTTGGATCCCACATTTAGCCAAGTCAGCCTATCATGTTGACTGCCAATCTTAGGACTATTTCTGGACTTGAACTAGTGGCCTGCTGTGTTGCTTGATAATCTTGGGACTGTGTCATTTTATTTGTTGACCTTGAGATTGTCAGCCTCAGTAGCCAGCAGCTCCCTGAGTTAAGAGACACCTCCAGCTCCAGTGGACCAGGAGCAATAGGCAGAACCCAAGGTCGAGAGGCCTTCACCCAGCTCCTAGAGCTGTCACATTGAACTCAGACTTCTAGCCTCCTAAATTGTAAGAGAATAAATCCCTGTTTGTTAAAGCCATCCACTTATGGTATTTTCTGTTAGAGTGGCACTGGGTAACCAAAACAGATTTTGGTAGCTTTACTGGGTTGGTGAACCATGTGGACCAATGATGATAAGTAAGTTGGCTCATCATACATGGCAGTGGCAAAACATAGAAGGTAAACCCCATCCTACAGTCATATATACCCCTGCTAGCTCTTCCCCCACTCATAACCCCCCACTGGCCACAAAGCTGGTGGCATAGGGTGGCTATGGCCCAACCCAATGCACCCCATGGCAAGTACAACTCAATACATCCAGGAACAGCACTTCTCCAGCCTGGTCTTTGTCCACCAAAGATGGCATATTGGACTCTACATACCTAAAGGATGAATATTTGTTTGTCTGCTCCCAAGACTTGAAAAACTGACTTGCCTATGTCCAAGGGCTGAGAAGACTTCTGCTTTATCCAGAAAAAGAGAAAAGATCTCTTCAGCTAATTCTGAGTATATTTTTTCCTTTCCCAACCAAAGTGTTAATGTCTTAGAGATAGAGATCATGCCTTAAACTTGTTGTGTTATCCACTCCCACCCTAGTATGCATATGACTGGGTCTCTGTCAAGTGCATCCTAAGTATTAAGTGAACAAATGGTGTGCTCATAGTACCCCCATCCCTGGAGGCCATGTAGGTACAGCCTACCTCGCCATACTGGGTGCAGTAGGTCTCAGGCTTGGTTAGTCCACAGGTGGATGAAGCTCGGAGAAACTGGGTCCTCCCAACAAGCAGATCCCCAACAGGTGGATAGCAGGCCCCACGGGAACAGTCTTGCTGGGCACACAGGAAGCTGGGCAAGGCTGAAATCACAAGAGGTGCTGTGATGCAGCTCAGAAACGGGCTGATGTTGGCAAAGGTTCCTCAAGGGAGCTGATGTTGGCAAATCTAGACTCTCTCCCCCACTTCTGCTCCCATTCACTGATGGGGATGAATAATAATAGAAGTCCTGATATCTTTAAGCAAAAATGCTGACTTCATGTTCTGTAACTTGGTAACCAAAAACTATGAGTGACTCTGAAATGTGGCATCCACATGGAGCTTTTAGAACTGAGCTGGGGATATACACTGGACACATGGTCCACAACTCTGTTCCCAGCAGCATGGCTCCATCAGCAGCCCAGAACTGGGCTGATTGATGAGCCATTTGTGGACCATTGAGAGATGTCTGCATTCTCCTTTATCTGCAAAGGTCACCCAGCCACATTTTGTGAGTGTCTAGTTATCATTCACTGAAGACTAAGAACTCAAGCCATGATGGTTCTGAACTAGCCTGAGAGTGACAGGATGGGAAATAAATGGTGATGAGCAATCAGGAAAACACAAACTACCCTCGCGTAGAATAAGATGACACTAGGAGGATTTTCAAGAGAGGCAGATGCTGTTTCTTCCCCAACAGCCCAAAAGAATGGGGGAATCTCATAAGTGTGCCCAATAGAGCAGTTCTCCAAACTGATGGGATGTCAGAGTGACAGGTTATACTTACATTTTGGCAAACTCTCCTCCCACCCATGCTATATCACATATATCCCCTATATCACATATACTCCCTGCTATATCACAGGGCTTCGAAGGATGGGAAGGAATGGTTACCAAAGAACAGGAGCAGGAGTGGCCTCATCTTCAGCCAATGGGGTGCTCCCCAGAATGGGCCTCACCTGTAACAAAGCAAAGCAGCCTGGGTAAACTATGTAAATCCCACAGTATACTGGTCCCTTTTCTTCTGTATTTCAGATCCAGGATCTTGACCTGGAACACTTCTAGGCAGCCAGCAAGTACCCTGTCACCAAAAGCTTGGAAAATACCCCTGTCCTGGCTGGCAGGTGACTCACAGGTGCCCTGGAAAAAGTCCCATCCTTTCACAGACTTCAACTTCCTCTAAAATGGAAGGGAAGGAGAATCAAACTTACCCTGTTCCACACAGTCACACGGACAATGAGGGGAGCAGGAAAGGGCTTGGTCCTTTGCCAGAGAGAAGCTATAGGGAAGTCCAAGGCCTTGTTGCTGTCTTAAGAGAAAAGAGTGTCCTTTCTCAAAGCCTGGACCAACAGTCTCACACAGGCCAGCCTATAGACCCAAAGGTGGATGGCAAAGTGGCTGAGGGTCCGGAAGTAAGTCTTCTCTTCCCATTGGCATGGTTTCCAATACCACTCAGGCCCACACCGAGGGTGGGGTTTTGGCGGCCTTAACTCTGTGCTAAGCAAGTAGCTGAGATACAAAAGTGAGAGAGACAACTGTTTTTTTAAAGTGTGTGAGGATTCATATGAAGTAGAAGCAACCCAAATTGTCTCCAATGATGGGCTGAGGCTCTGTGGAAGGGGTGGGGCAGGAGGAGGCAAAGCAGGGATTCAGAAGGATTCTGGGGGTGGACACTGAAGGCCACTGTATGGATCTGAGATGCAGGCCTGTTCTGCCATGCTCCTCCCTTGCCCATGCACTGCTCATCTCCACCTTTGACTGGATACTCACTCTACTCCAAGGCCAGTCACAAACTCTTTTGGCTGGGGTGGAAGTGTGGGAGGTTGGCAAGGCAGGGCAGAGGAAGAACTGGGGTCATTCCCGGAATCTTTAAATCATATATCCTAATATTCCAAGATCATCCCTTCCAATCCCCTCCCAGAACAGTGAGGGTCCAATGAGGAGATGTGACCTGATGCCAACCAACTAGCCATGATCTAAGAGGCAAAATGTGCTCTGATTTTCTTCAAGTTTTCTCTGCTAGCCCAGCTCCCACCAGAAACCCCTGCAACTGGGCATTCTGCACAGCACTCAGAAGAACCCAGCCCAGCCAGCCCACTTTGCCCTCTTCTCTTTTGTGCTCACTCCTAGATCTGGATCTGCTTTCTTCTAAGTCACTGAGGTGCTTATCAGATGTGAAAAAGAAATCCAAACACTGGCAGACATTTTAACCTACAATGTCACAGGTAAACTCACTTAGGTGAGCTCCCAGGAAGAGGAATGTATCAGGCCCTGGAACCAGGCCCCAGGCATCCCACACCTAGTGGGCAGGTGAAAGCAGGTAACATACCTCACTCTGTGCTGCTGCTGTTCTTTCTCCAGATTGCCTGAGAGCTCCCCTTGAATGTAGGGGTCTCCTTTCCTGGCTCCAAGTTTTTAAACAACAGCCTCACCTCTGGAGACTCCCTGGCTGGGTGTAGCTCCACTGTAGGGCGGGTCTCAGGAATCTGGCAGCCGGCACGCCCATCTGCCGTCACTGCACCCCCACCCCACCCCTGGACGGGACTGGGCAAGTGGGTTGGTCCTAGAGGACTCACAACAGGCTCGGAAATGCCTGCTTGTCTGGGGGTGGCTGAGGTTAGAGGGGACTGCAAACAGGAGCACCAGGCAAATGATAATGATCATTAGAGACCAGGATACCAGTGGTAGGGAAGGGCCCTTGCATTTGTACCAGGCACTGTACTTGGCAATTTCCAAAGTCCAGTAGGGTCAAGTGTCCTGTAGCCTGGACCACCAGACCAGGAAGAGTATTCAAAGATCAGGGCTTGCGTATTTTATAGCCCATACTGTCACTGAGGCTGGAGATATGAAGACCTAAACCTCCAGGACCCTAGAAGGCACCCATCCCTTCCCAGGGTAGTACAAAGTGGAAAATCCCAGCTTCTTGGGGAATTTGAAGGATACATAAAAGGCTATGCTTCATCTGGAAGGGGTCAAAGCCCAACTCAACCAAAAAGTTGGGAAAATTTAAGAGGAATGAACAGGGTAACAAAATGCTTCCCCTCCGGCTTCCTCCACAGGGTTGGCAGTGAGCCCAAGAACAGGTAACTACCTGTGAGTCACTGCCCCCAGCTCCAGGCAGGGTTGGTCTTCTAGCCTTTCCCTCCCTGGGCAGGAATGCTCGCCTGGAGGGCCAGAAAACAGATCTGACCACAAGTGGTAGAGGGAAAGGCTGAAGAATAGCTGGACTAATAAAGGCAAAGCAGACTTCCCCTGGCCAGGTGCCAAGCTTGAGAACACAGCTTCCTTTGTGGGGTCCTGGGCGGGTTCCTGGCTTAGGGATCCTGGGCTTTGAGCCATCATAAATGGCAGGGAGTAACAATTCCAGATTGAGAGGCTGGTCTCATAGGACACTCTTCCCTAGGTTAGGGTCAGGGGACTTTGATAGAGATCTGGAAGGTCACCCAGTCCATATCTTGGCCCCAGAGAGCTTGCACCAGCATCATTTTGGAATGTTACTGCCTACTCTCTCCCTCAAAGTGTCTATTTAGAGGAGACTCTGTCCCAGTGTCCACTTGGCAGAAAATTCTCTACAATTGGAGGATTATGTCCAAGGAATTGGTTTGAAAACCCCACTTTAGAATTGAACATAGAATTTTGTGGATTAAATTGAACATTTCTAAACTTCAGGTTCTAATTTAGCACAAGAACTTCAGATGAGTAGAGCAGCAAATATTATAATTAGCAAGTAGGCAATAAGTTATTAGATGAGTGATTGATACCTCAATAAATGTGAGTGGCCCCCTTTAAGCATTCCAGTGGGGTGTCCCTATGAGCAGCAGCTTCCCTTCATCTGCCCCTGCCTCTGCCAACAAGAACACAGAGAGTCACCGGTCCAGTTCCCACACAGCAGTGTCACCTCTGGCAACCCTGGGTGCCAGATCCTGCCTGATCTTTCTCTTCACTTCCCCAACTCCCTGAACTCAAGGCCTCCAGGAAGTTTTCATACTCCTGGAACTGCCCATCACCAGGAAGGAGGATATGACAAAGAACTCATTAATAATTAACTCAACAGACCGTCTTGTCGCTGATGCTGCAACCCCAGCTCCTCAGGCAAGGTGGGGCAGGCAAGTGGTGGGCCTCGCTGCCAGTGGCTAGGGCCCTTTAAGTCCCCCTCCTCTTTCCTCTTAGGAGCCAAGGAGCCCAGGTAAACAAGTGTTTGGTGTCTCAGACTTCACAGGTTGGGGCAGGTCCCAGGAGCAGTCTGGCATGCAGGAGGAAAATGGCAGTTGCTTTGCCAGCATCTGCATCCCCCACTCCCAGCAAAGTCCAGGAGGATCTTTACACAGACCTCAAACACAGCCCATTTAGTCTCACCTCACTCTCCATGGACACTGAAAATTCCCAGTCCAGTTCCCCTTGAACTCTATAGCCACTTCACAAGCTTTAGAACTTAGATCGCCATTTTTTATTCAGGCAGAGAGGGCTGAAATAGCACCAGAAGGCTGATGAGTATAGAGGGGAGGTAAGGACATTGCTCAAGCACCTCAGCCTCCTTCTCTGGGCCTCTCTCCCTGCCACCCACCCTGCTATTTCAGAGCTCCCAGCCCTCAGCTTCCCCAGAGTCTTGGCTCATTTATGCTTAATTTATGCTCAGGAAAGTGGCTGGTAAAATCATTTTTGACTCTTGTTTCTCTCACACTCATATCAATCTATCTGCAAGTTCTGTTAGCTCCTCCATCATAGGTAACCAGAATCCACTTCAACATTCCTGGAAAGGCCCTCTCTAGCCCAAGTTTCTGCAGTAGACTCCTAACTGCTCTAACTGTCTTGGCCCAACAAACAGCTCCTGCCACCTATCTGCTCAGAACCCTGCACTATTGCACCATGGCGCTGGCAGTAAAAGCCAAAGCCCTCCCTGTGAGTCTGTGAAGTCCTATGTGATTATATGCAACTCCCCTTTCCCATTGTCTCTCCACTTTGCTGCTACTATCTCCTCCCTCCTTTGCTCTAGCCACTTGGCTTCCTCAAAACCAAAACCAAACTCACTGCCATTGAGTCAGTTCTGACTCAGAGCAACCACAAGTGGGCTTCTAAGGCTGTAAATCTTTATAGAAGCAGAATGCCTCATTTTTCTTCTGCAGAGCAGCTGGTAGGTTTAAACCACTAATCTTTTGGTTAGCAGCCAACTGCCTTAAGCACTACACAACCAGATCTCCTTTGGCCTCCTCAAGTGCCTCCAAATCACCAGGTCTGCTCCCACCTCCAGGCTTTTGCCCCAGCTGCTCCCTCTTGCTGGAATGTTATTCCCCAAGATAGCTGCAAGTCTAACTTTCTCACCTCATTTCAGTCTTTGTTCAGATGCTCCCTTCTCAGTGGAACCTACACTGACTACCCTATTTAAAATTATAACACACTTTCCTGCCTCATCCTTATCTCTCACCTCCAGCACTCCCAAGCATATTTACTCTGCATTACTTTTTACATTTTCATAACATCACCTTCTAACCAACTATATAATTTACCTATATATCATATTTAGTGTGTTTCCCCCCTTTAGAATGTTATGTCCAAGAATGTAGAGATGTTTCCCTATATTGTTCACTATTGGATTGTGTTTAGAAACAGTCTGTGACACACAATAGGGGCTCAATATTTATGGTATGAATGGCTTCACACTAAAGTGTAAATAATTATATGGTTTAATGAGTTCCCCTGCCCCTTAGGTATAGTTGCACGCATCCAGGGAACAGAGTCCAGGTTTATCTATCACCAAAATGGATTGTAAAATAGTAGAAATGCATGTATCAGCCAGTTTAAGAGGGGTGGTCTTTTTTTGGATGCACTTATTGCCAGGCCCCAGAAATGTCACTATGTTGATGCAGGAAGAATCCTTCTTTGCTTGCTGATCAGTCATCCCTGGCAATGTCTCTGACAGGGGTGGGGTGGTGGTAAAAGCTACTATCTCCATTATCCATTTGGCAGGCTCAAATCCTCCATGTTGCTGGAGAGATCATCCATGATCTGTTCAATGAGAGATCAAAGGACAGGGAAAAGGGAAGGAGTGAAGGAAGAAAGAAAGGAGGGATAGGGTTAATAGGAGAAAGAGGGCCTGGTCCCGACAGTCTCTGGTGTTGGAGGAAATGCCAGGTGAGTAAGGCTCAGGCACTACCTGAATACAGTGAGTCATTGCTGAGTCCTTGTCTGTGGGACAGCGGCGGCTCCAGGCATAACCCTGAGGATTTGCCATCTGACTAAATCTGGTATGATCCTCCACTCCAGTGCAGTGGCTTAGCTGCTCAGACAATCTGTCATTCTTTGTGTGTATCCCTAGGAAAGAAAGAAGGTGGGCCTGTCATGTCACTGAAGCCACAGACAGAAGTCTAGCATCAGGCCAGGGCCAGCAGTAATCAGGACAGGCACCAGGGGCTGCCTGTCATGGGGTAACTCCATTCTATCCCCTTCCCTCTCCACCCACCCACCTTCCCAAAGGAAATATCTATCCAACAGACAGCCAAGCACACTCGCTTGGGCTTGAGGTCTGGGAGAAATCTGGCAGTGAACATAACACAACTACAGCTCATATTTTACTGCTGTAAACTCTTATTATGTATTAACTTATTTAATACCTTCACTTCTACCCACATTCCTACGGGAATAGAAATGTAAGCACCCTTGTTTTGTAGATGAAGAAAATGAAGCACATTTTCTATAACTAAGTGGTGACTTGAACCCAGACCAGTTAGCCCCAGACTCCTCTTCTGGACCATCACAAAGGAGCCGAGATGTGCTACATCTTCTAAACTCCCTTGTCTGCACCTTGGGAATATCTGGCCCAAGTCCACCAGACTCTTGACTTCATGTCTCCAAAACCTAATCAAGGCACAGTATTTGGAAATTCCTCTTTGAGCCCTTGCTCCAAACCTTGGAGCACTGGTGAGAGTTCCAGGGGAGATACTGATATTGTAGAAATGCCTAGGACAGACACCACCAGGTGTCTCCTCATTTGTTTTCTGTATTGACAAATCATCTTGCATGGGCCCAGATGGAGAAGGTGCTGGCCTCCAGGTCCTCATCTCAGAGGTGCCCTGCACATACCAGCAGGGTTTCCCTCAAACCAACAGGAAGCTGCTTGGAGTGGGGATCTGAGAACCTCATAAAAAGAGGGCAGGCAGAGAAGGTGACTAGACATACATCACAGTGAGTTAAGATTAAACAAAAGGCATGATAACAGAGTGACACAACTTCCCGTTCACCAAAGGAAGGGCAGTCCCTCCCTGAGGTCAAGCTCCTGGGACACCTCAGGGGCCTCAGATCCTTCTGCTGTCTCCCCAGGTGCATGCCTGAATGCCCTGCCCCACCGCCCCACTTGGGATTTGGCTCAGAGAAGGCTGTAGCTTGGTGGACTTGTGTGCTTCCCCGGGGCTGGCTGGCTGGCTGGTTCCTCAGAGAAGAGGG